GGGTGTGTTACATGGAACCAGGAGTAGATAATAGGAAATACCCTATTATCTACTCCTGATGTAACTTATGCCACTGCCAGTGCATGTGGTGGTGATAGCACTGTGTAGTTTTTGCCTGCGTTAATTAGTTACAGGTGACAGCTCTCTATTTCGGCCTGTAGGCTTGCGTAGGTAAATGGATGAGTGTTTACCTATTCTGTCTTGCAAATAGTTGTTGCTACTACGTACGATGGGAGCTTCCATCTTTAATCTTAAGACACTTAGATGTACGCGTCATCTCGTGGCAACTTTCATAACGATCCCAACGAACTTTCCTTTGAGAAGGTTCTTGATACCATCCCTGTGCCTTCCACTGTTTCGGCGCGTATATGAACACATTTGGGACTAACAGGGTTTACTAGAATCAGGAGCTAATAATGACAAATTTGTCATTATTAGCTCTGCAGCTAGAATCCCACCACTCCACCACAGAGTCACCGCTGTAGACGTTAGATGAGCGCTGTCTCTCCGCGGCACTTGTATAGTTTAGTATCTTATGCTATGTTCTTGTATCATCTACACGTTATAATAATAATGTAATATATTATATAATAATTATAAAATAAATTATATAATAAAAACAATATAATAATAATGTAATAACGTAAGATTCAATAGTAGTAATTACAAGGATTTTAACAAAGCAAATAGTAAACAATATAGTGAAGGGATGACGAAAGGACCATACGGTCATCTAGTCGGCCATCGATCCACTGGAAAAATTATAAAGTACGCGGGCAACTGTCATAAGAGTAGAAAAATAATAAAGTAGACGGGTTCTAACAGAATATTCGTGCATATAATAAACATAATTTAGTGTGTATATGGTTATTTATTAACAGTTATTATTACATTATAGTTATTATGTGTACGTTATGAGAGTATAAACATTCTGTTTAAATATTGCTCATCATAGTAATTATTATTGCTTACTTATTGTCTAACGATTATGCAGTTGTGAATCCTTTTAATTTTATAACTTTATTGTTCAGTTATAACTGAACAATTAATTTGTGTTTGAATAATACTAATATAAAGTTATAAAATCAAAAGGATTCACAACTGCATAATCGTTAGACAATAAGTAAGCAATAATAATTACTATGATGAGCAATATTTAAACAGAATGTTTTTAGTAACGACAATATAGATAAACACTATTAAACGTAATTAACAACAAAACAAACATTGTGGAATGTCGTATTTACGTAAACACGTACGTAACATTATGAAACAGCAATGTTTCGCACAGTGTAGCATCTATAGTAGCTCTAGTACTATAGCCCGCGTACAGTTGCCGCAGGCCTGCACATCTATAGACAGTATGAGCCAACAGTGCATAGTACCTATGTAATCATTATTTTATTGATCTCACCTTCGCTCTCAGGACATTGCTGCATAGTGTCCAACACATCATAGTGCTGTTCATGCATGCGGAAAGAATTACTGTAGAATATATTAATATACCTGGATATATGCATGTACATGCGTAGCATGGTCGTATTCATTCATCCAGTTTAAATATTCTAATCCATGTTTGAAGGGAGGGATAATACAGTTAAATTATACATGGGTTACACACCTGTTGCGGCCACATCGCAAAAACGCAAGGTATCTACCACGTACATCCCTTTTGTTGTGTTAACACGGTTTTATAGTTCCTACTCGATTGCATGGCAACTCTATCTCACATTGTCACGATGCGGTCTTTTGATTTGCAAGAGAAAACATGTAAATATATGCATCTTCACATTTGTTTTTGCCAGTGTCATACAAATGAGGATACAATTATTGCCTAGTTGAGAGACAAAAAAAAATCCAACGTAGAATATATTTTATTTGTAATCGTGATGTTTACTTTAGTTGGGACATTTGCTTCGTAGACAGGCACGCAACAAATGACAACTGGCATGGTAGTAGTAAGTGGCTTGAGGGTGTCAACGATTCATGCTATCATAGCTTTAATGTACTGTTGATATCTTAGTAACAGTAGAATGAATGAGTATGATGTAATCAGCTCAGGAAGAAATATGCTATACCAATTATAGACTTAACTATAAATATTATGTTGTATGAGACAATTCGTCTGTTGGAAACAATTACTTTGTATGCACCCATACTCTTTCCCACACCTACAAGTGTAATGATACATCGAACTATCAATTCTGAAAGTGTTTCCCAATAGCGAAGATGCCAATATGCAATGCAATAGTTAAAAATCGATTGCCGAATTTTTCGCCGAACAATTGATAGGTTTTGATGTTTGCAACATTAAAATACCTGGTTAGTTTATTTACTGCTAAATGTATTCTTTTGCACGTGCAAATGCCTAAAAACCATGACTCACCCTTCATTATTTGTTGCTCACTTGCTATGCACACGTGTGTGACTGTGAGCAGAATAGCAGAGTACCATTTTAAAACTAGTATTAGTAAATAAGGTGAGCCAAAACGAGGCTTGATGCAATTCACAATACGATACACAATCTCATAATACACTATTAGTATGGCACTGGCAATAGTTTGCAATAATTTGTAAACTATAGCAATAACATCGACAATAGTATTTGGACCACCACAATACCGCAATAATCACCCCCATATTCACATCGTACGGAATGCTTGCGGCTGCAAAGATGAGAAATTGGCAAACAGTTTAACTGTACATTTATATATCATACATAACTCATAATGTAATGTCGCAGTAGGAAATATTGTGCGTAGTTCTAAAGTATTATCTCATGGTTATATTATTCACGGGTTCTCATGTGCCGCTCGCTTGACTGCTTGTAGAAATCAAGACCGCTTCGTCGTCATGGATAAAGAAGATGTGAAGCCACCTCCGGGTCTCTTCCTCGATGCGCCCGAGACCAGCGGTTCGTCGCCGGTGAGCCCGTCCCCCTCCACTCTCTCCCCGCTCGCCTGCGACAGCAGCCGCAGCGTCGCCAGCGACCCGGCAGCGAACAGCCGCAGTCGTTTCGCGAGCGGGGGACGAGGCTGCGTGGCGACGAACAGGGCGTACGGCGTCACGTCGTCTAGCGCGGCGATCAAGAACCCGCTGACGACGACGACGTGCGACGCGGCGGCGAGGACCGGTGAGACATGTCTCGCTTCGTCTCGCCTCGACGCCGATCCCTGCGAGGCGTACGACGTCGACTCGACGAACAGCGCGACGTTCGGATGCGGTCAGGAAGTCGGCGTGAAGAAGTCGCCGCCGAGCGGCGGCGCGTCGTCGTGCTGCGTGAAGAACGAGAGCAAGTCGCCGGGGTGCGTCGCGAGTACGTCGCGCGATCCATCACCTCCGCCGCTGCAGCCGCAGCCAGAGACGGCAGCGTCACACGCCAAGTTCTCTGGTGAGAGTTTGTGTGTAATACTGGCTTGGTGAATTCGTTGGCATATCTTTCTTTCAATTGTAGTTGTATTGGTTGTGATCGTGGTAGTGGTAGTGGTAGTGGTAGTGGTAGTGGTAGTTGTAGTTGTAGTGGTAGTGGTAGTCGTATGGTTGTGGCAGACAGGTTTTTCTTCGACAGGTTCATGCTTATCGGCCTTGCCCACAGTCTCGCTTTGGGATTTTTCGTGTAACAGACTTTATCCAGCAAAGCTACTGGACTTATAGGGTGACATTGATAGCCAACCCCCAGTGACATGTTACATTTAAAAGGCTCATCTGGATTGATATGAAATTTAGCTAAATGAATGCCCACAATCAAGGGTTTTCATCTTAAAACTAAATGTATAGTGCCACTAAAAATCAGATTTTGTTGCACCGATTTCGTGGTCACAATCACTTCAAGGTCTTCACTTTACATTAAAGGGAGAGTTTACTCTAGGTTCTAGGGTTATTTTCAGCGAATTTAGGTTATAATTACGCTACATAAAAAGTTTCATGGTTCAATCACCATTATAAATATTTTAAAAAAATGTTTGAAAACTAACGACTCCAGCCACTCAAAGCACACGATCTGATAAGTTGCGCAAAACCACTTTCCAGCCAAGGGCTACAGACCGAGGGTGTTACTTATTTATTCATTTAAAAGCAAAAGGATTGTAATATCTTATAAACGACATATAGTTTCAGTTATAATATGGATAAATTTGCCCTAAAATTAATATCGTTCGGTTAAATAGCATTTACCTATAAATATATAATTGCACTTTTGTGATTAGCCCTCGGTCTGTAACGTGCAAAATAAATTGTCAAATACGCAACTTTTTCGGGGTGGCAGCACGGTCGCGGGTGTCATGGCGCCATTCAAATTTCGTAGCGTTGATGTGTAATTAATTATAACAATTAAATTAGGTATCTGGTAACAAATACGTATGGGTATAGACGATTTGTTATACAGTAAGTACAGTTGTATGCAGTAAAATCCTAGAGGCTACTGTCCCTTTAAGCCTGACTTAATGTTCTGCACAAACCTGCACTTGATGAAGTGCAAATTGGAATGCGGAGTGTGAGCCACCATAAGTGTATAGTATTATAAAGGTATTTCATTTTAGAAATAAATGGCATCACGCAGGGTTTCCTCTGAGGGGAAATTCAACAAAGGATGTAATGGCCAGTTAAGGGAAAAAACGCGCATGATGGATTCAAAGGCGTAAGAAAAGAAGAGCAGGTTAGAAAGTGTGGGAAGGTGGTGTCTCAATTGGTGGGGAAACCCTCTAGTTTTTTTTCGAAATGATCTTTCTTAGGTGCACTCTGAGGTTATATGAATCTGCCAAAGAATGAAAAAATGCAACGAAATTTTGTAATGTTTTACCATTATTTTCAAGTACATTTCTTTGATTAAAATCTCTCTAATCAGGGCATTTTCAAGAGCAACTAATCACAAAAAAGTGAGTTTGGACATTTATAGGCATATATTTCGGGTGTCAAAGTAGCCAGCACCTAGTGCTCAAGTAGTCGGTTGTTTTCGCTTGGAGTGGGCTTCTATTCGAACGAAAACCATGCATAATTGACTTGTAAGCGCGGTCAAAAGCACTTATTTTAAATAGCACGTAGCGTACATATATCCCAATGTGAATGTGAGTATATGCGGCATTCATATGCAGTCAATGTTCAATATTCACTATCACTATCATATCAGTAAATACTCACTGGATCTTAAATCTAAAGGCTTTATCTGTCAGTGTCTTGTTTATTGTTGCCTGCGTAGTTTCTTCTTATTGGAGAAGGCAGTTACGTTTATTGCTGGCATGATGAGTTTGAAGTGCTGCTATTGAGGGATACGTCAGTCCAGACTCCAGTGGTTATAGCGTGTCCACCTTTCTCTTTGAATACTGTATGTTCAAACCCCAGCCAGAACAGTGGATTGTCTCAACGTGTTAAAACCTTGCTTTCAACATTAGGTACTGTGAACCCCTCGATTATCAGATGACCACGTAAAATGGTGGTCATGCCTTCATTAAAGGGCCGGACACACTAGGCGATTAAATCGGGTGACTAAATCGGGCAACTAAAGCCCTGTCTACACTAGCAAACTTTAGTTTGCAAACTCGAGCAAACTCCGAGTTTGGCAAGAAAAGTTTTCCAAAGTTGCCAGTGTAGAACTAGTGACAAACTTCGGCAAACAGGTTGCAGAATTAGGCCGTGCACCTCTGACAACTAGTGGTCTGAGGTTTGAACAACTCAGCAATCAAATACAGTTGTAGTCATGTATCACTGCAGAGATGGACACAAAAAGGTCGCCCCAGTAAAGTAACGAAATCAACAGGGACGTATAGTACCAAGAAATTGTTGATTTAATTCAAGAGTAAGAAAAGTATCCATGTTTACAATACAAGCACCCTCAAGAGAAACAAGGGATAAAAAGAAGGCCGCATTGCAGGCAGATTGCCAGCTGGTTGATGCAACGTCTGAGCGCCTATTCCTGCACAGGCAATGAATAGCCCAACTGTCTCTTCATAATACCAGGGTCTGGTCCACAAACGTGGCTTGTTTTGCTTTCGCGACAGACGACGGCGGGCGGCAATAGCAATGCAATAATTGCTGCGGCGCCACACGGACTACTGACACACATCAACCTCTTCGCATGGTGATCCTTCGCAATTGTTCTGGGACATATGGAGGAAAATACGGCCGTCGTTTCCGCTCCAAGCTTATGACAAACTTCAGAAACTTCCCCAACAAAATAAAAGTCTTTTGCAAAAGTTTGTTGCAGGTTTCATAGTGTACGACACAAGAGGACATGCCACAAAGCGCGCGAGAGAGCGCGGGCCAACAACTCCGGAAGTTTGCCCGTCGAGAGGTTAGCGCAAAAGACTAACGAGCTTGCAGGGGGAGAGCGAGCTGAGAAGTTCGCGACGCCGATTCGTATCCGCGAGGAGAGGGGGCGAGCGTGAGCGAGCACTGAGCGCGATGAAATCGGCCGAGCACGGCTAAATCAGCCGGGAACGATCCGGCCTATATTGGCATGAAGGCATGGTGCACCGCTAGACCGTGCGTACCTCGCCGCGCGTGCGTAGCGTGCTGCAGAAGCGGAAGCGCCGGCGGCGACCTGCGGGGTGCATAGCGAGCGCTGCCGTAACGTGCCGCGGCGCGCACTGGCGAGACCACGCGTTCGCGGTGGGCGCGCGTCACGGGCGGTGCTGCGTGCGCCTCGGCAGGGTCTGACAACCGCTCTCGTGCATGCGGGGTAGGGCGCTGGCGTACGCGTGCGAACCTAGACAGCAAGGGGCAGCGTGCCGTGGGAGCGAGCGCGCGGTAGCACGGGTACACGTGCGGCAGCGGCGCATCGCTATATACATGACGACGTCACAGCATATAAACAGGGGCGACAACATGCACGGCGCGGTGGGGAGACGGTAGGCAGTAGCGACTGCGAGGAGACATAGAGGGCAGAGACGAGACCGGAGTACCGCGCAAAGCGCCGAATAAGGGCGGCCGTCAATCGACGAGCTATGTAGCGCGAAGCGGAATCGGGGCGAGTTTTTGAACTCAGCCGGACCAGCCCGGGCGCCGGGACACACTAGCGGACTCGAGAGGAGGCCAGCGACTGAATCGCCGGGCGGGGGCGCAGATGTAGACCCATTCGGGCGACTAAAATCCGCCCGATAAATCAAAACGTTGAAGACTAAGCGGCGAGGTTAAATCGGGCGAACCAAACACCCAAATCCGAGAATCACACGGTATGAGTTTCCCGCTGCGGCAGACGCGACACGTGTGATCATTCCACCCGATTGTACGCTTTTCTGGTCAATTCCCCCGAAAGAGTTTGCTGGCCAGCTTCGCCGCCGATAGGTCCAGCCCTGCGTAAGATTAGGTATGAGTTATAAACCAACGCGAAACCAATCGTGCCCCCCCCCGCATACTCAATCAATCCGCCCCTCCACAGCACGTGACGCAGCGCGATGTGCCACGACCATTCACAACGTGCCCGGCGGCCGCTTTCCTCAACCCCCTGAGCTTTCAGGCCCATACGCGGCCTTGACGCCTCAGCCCGAAGAGACTTCGCGTATAAACAATCGATCCTCTCTAGCTCGTACAGGCGACATTCTCACTATTGCAGTCCGAATAGTTCTTGTTGTTTAGCTAACCTGTGATGTATTCACAATTCAAGGTGCATTGTAGTTGTGGACTATGTGAGTTTTGATATCATGTTAGTCGTCAGTCGATAATAACTTCTTGAATAGACGTTGGTCTGTAAAAACTCACTGATGTGCGGGTGCGTACCAACCTGCGTGCGTCGCCTGCGTGCGTCGTGTGACGTGTCGTGTGGGGTGCGCGACCCCCGCGCGAGTACTAAACGCCAATCGAGTGACGAAAAACAGCCACTGAAACAAGTCACCAACTGGCGAAATGAAAAAAAGAGCCCAACGGAAAATAAAAAAGCCCCCGAAATTTGGGGGCAGGTTGGCAAAAAGCAGCCCCGGAAAAGAAAAACTATATTTTCACAGATGCTGGGCACGTAAAAACCACTCGCAGGCGTGTCCGTGCTCCCGACTATAAAACGGAGGCCCGTCGTTGCCTGCCAATTTGCCTGCATAGATTTCCCCAAGTGATACATCCGCAAGTCTGCCCCGGATTTTGGACCCGACCCACCGCTTACGCGAAAGAACCACCACAAGGATCTGATGCACGCGGCGCGGGATACTGAACGCAGGGTAGGGGGCGTGTGCCTGCGCGAATTCGGCGAGGGTTGTGGCCATATGTCACTTATGGTAATCAAGGTAGTATCCCAGGATGACCCTCTCAAAAAGAAGAAACCAAGAAGAAAAGAGGGGCTAAAAGCGCGAACAATTGCGCCGCTTGGTGATCGCGAGGGCGACACTATCGGCAACAGCTCGTGAAGACATGCCTAGCCCAAAACCAGCGAAGTCACCGAGCGAGATTCCGCGACCGCAGCCACCAATCATCAGAGACCGCAACATTCAAAAGCCCAAACTCAGCGCGCGCTCGCCACCGTCCACGGCACACCAACGTCCGGGTTCGCACGGTTCTGCCCGGCTCCCGACCCGATCAACGCAACCAGCACATATTCAGCTCGTGGCCTGGAGTTCCTCCAGACGCCCCCCTCCGCAGGCCACGCGTAGCTCGCTCAGCGGAAACATCCCCTTTCACGCAGCGACAGCAGTTAATCCAAGCTGTCATCACCTCGCGAGGACCGACGCTAATATAACTCTCAAAAAACGAAAAATGTTGCAAGACTATGCAAAGACTAACGCACGACAACCTGCAATGTGTGGAGCCTCCACAAATATAAGATCGGAAACAATCTTGCAACTACCTCACGACGTCCCTGCGACAGCCGTGAGACAAGTGAGGACAAATCCGGCGATAGTCGTAAGAATTGTCTGACTATAAAAAAATTTCTTCCTGTACCCACGACAAGAATTTATCGCAACGACAGTACCGCAAGACGTCGGGCAAGAACCCTGCTGTAGACACGACTCACACTACAACCAGAAGACATAGATACCACAAAAAATCGTGCAACAAAAAAGGTGCATGTTCAATTTTGCCACACGACGGCAAGTCGATGTCACGATGCTCAAAATTTCGTAGGACTGTCTTGCGACGACCCCCGATGACCCACGATTTGCCCAAATTTTCTGTCGTGTCGTTGCACAAATGCGTCGTGGGCTCGTTGAGACCAGGGCTTTAGGGACTAGTTTCCCATTGACAGTAACAATGACCCCCTTCCCCCCCCCGTAATTGACGATGGGTTCCTATGAAAATTATTTCGGTCTATTAAAAAGAATACTTGTAAGTTTTTAAACACATATTGTTGTATCCCTCGCGACGAAGTCGGCGTGGATACTATGGTTTCATGTCTGTCCAGCCGCCGCCGCCGCTCGGTCCGCCGCAGAGAATTTCCCTTCCGCTCTATAACTCGACCCCTAATTGACCTAGCGCGACCAATCTTCGTATACTTACACATCTTGGGGAGAAGGTGCGCAGCGTACCAAAACCAGGTCACTACGACATTTATTTGACCTTTACCTTGACCTTGATCAGATTTCCCTTTCACTCTATAACTCGGTTTCTAATTGACCTAGCACTAGCAAACTTGGTATACTTACACATCTTGGGAAGAAGGTGTGTCGCGTACCAAAACCAGGTCACGGTGACCTTTATTTGACCTTGACCTTGACCTTAATCATATTTCTCTTCCACTCTATAACTCGGTCCTTAATTGACCTAGCGCGACCAAACTTGGTATACTTACACATCTTGGGGAGAAGGTGTGTCGCGTACCAAAATCAGGTCACTGCGACCTTTATTTTACATTGACCTTAACCTTGATCATATTTCCCTTCCGCTCTATAACTCTGCCCCTAATTGACCTAGCATGAGCAAACTTCGTATACTTACACATCTTGGGGAGAAGGTCTGTCGCGTACCAAAACCCTTAAGGCAACCAATTTTAACATCCTTGCACATCTCAGGCAGATGAGTTGTGTAACAAACCTTTGTCTTTGTGACTTATTTAACTTTACTTACCTTCTACGTCCTTACAGAGATATTTCATTCATACTAGATCACGGGAGATACATGTAGTTGGCAACAACTGCCCTTTCTAGTTGAGTATATAATGCCATGTCATGATCTTCAGTATGATAATAGATACCTAAACTACTTGCATTTAACTCTCGTTGAACGAAGTTGAGTACGCAATAGTGAAGCACGGGCAATGACCTAGCATTACTGGAGGAGTGGGAGGGCCACTATTAAGTATTAATAGCTGATCGTGAATAGAACTGTAAATCATTATCAACCGTTTTGAATCAGTGGCCTTACACCATAGAATCTCGGATAGAGACTATAGATATAGACCATAGAACTTAGAAGGTACATGAAGTGTTCTATTAGATTGGTAGGTAATTAATCCGGATGACTCGGATCCAGAAAAATAACCGATGTTTGTTATATGCGCAGGGCGTCAAGTTCCTATTTTTTCCTTTTTTCTGGGCAATTCCTATTTTCTCCTATTTTCTGGACAAATTCTTATTTTTTCCTATTTTTAAGGGCTTTTCATTTTTCTGAATCCAGAATTGTATGTATCCTTTTCAGAATGCAGGAATTTACATTTCAGGTGACCCAATTTTCACAAATTTCATGGGGGAGAACCCCCAGACCCCCACCCCTTACTTTAAATTACTTTAACGTTTTTATGTTGGCTGGGACAGCCGAAATCATTTATTTGTAAAACTTGAAAAATCTCATATTACACATGGTGTGTCAATAGTTTTGTTATATCAATACATGAAGTTTGACACACTAATCATCTTCTCTGATACGTTTGCTTTGCGCAAGTTCTGAGGAATGTCGTATCATTGTGCATGTCCAGTCATTTATTTTGAAATTGCTACCATTTTGTAGTAGTCTTTTACATGTTTGGGTTCTTATGCATGTAGAAACTGCAGATAAATTTTAACTTGCGTTTCTCTTTAGAACCTTAAAAAAATTTACTATGTGATGCACATTCAAATATATTTTAATTAGAAATAAGCAAAAAACAACAATTGTGGTGGATCGGGATGGCTATAGGGGTGTTGGGAGGCCATCTAATGAACACATATTTCTATTTAACATATTTGTGCTTCATAGTAAAAATTTATTGCACAATTTCTGAATAATCTTATATCATGTGCATGTCTAGTCTTTATTTTTAATCATTATCACTACTATTTTGGAGTAGTCTACATGTATGGGTGCTTATGCATGTATAAACTGCTTATCAATTTTAACATGCATTTCTCATTAAAACCTCAAAATATTGTTCGCATGTGATGTAACTCCAAATATGTATATTAATACAACCATTAATTGTGGTGGATCAGGATGGCTGTATCATGTATGGGTGTTGGGAGGCCATCTAACGCAAAAGATATTCCTATTTAACATATATTTTCTCACCAAAATTCCTATTTTCCTCCTATTTTTTCACATCTGAAATTCCTATTGTCCTATTTTTTGAGCGTCACTTGTCACTTGACGCCCTGTATGCGTTACAACTTACAGGTAATCGGTAGTGAAGCTGTGTGTTCAGAGTGTATATATATGAAAGCCCTAGTAAAGAGCGTGAGTGTGTGATTGCTGCAAGACTGCTGCAGTGTAACAGTTCTGTTAAGAAGCCACGTCTGTAGCAGTATAGCCTTACCACTGCCAGATCCAAGTAACCCCATGTCATCACAATCACCAATACCACAAACCCTGCAAGCATTGCTACAGCCACAACCACCACCACCACCACCACCAACACCACCACCAACACCATCACCAACACCACCACCAACACCACCACCACCAACACCACCAACACCAACACCAATACCAACGCCACTACTACCACCACCACCACCACCACCAACACCACCAACACCAACACCAACACCAACACCACCACCACCACCACCACCACCACCACCACCACCACCACCACTGCCACCACCCCCGCCATTATTCGATGAAGAGAAGGCTTCAGACAGTGTTCCTGCTAAGGAATCGGAGCAACTACAAGGCAGGGTCAATTATGACGTTTCCCTCAGCATGACTGATTAAAAACCAAGAATTGATGACATGCTTAATATGGATAACTTCATAATTATTGATATGTAGAGGTATATTAAATAAAAGCTACCCATTGGCATTAAAGTTCACTTCCTGTTTTAATATAATTTATTTGAGTTGGGGATTGTTTGAGGGATAAGTATGGTTATTGCTCAATTTCAGCAGGCTTCCTAGTGGTGATTTGAAACCTATCGCCAAAGTAGCAAGCCTCAGAATGTGCCTCAGATAATTTAAAATCAAAATTGTTCTGGGGAGCCCACCCTCTCATACCCTCATGTGAGCAGCTAACTGCTTGCTATGGCGCTTAAGCACCACACTCCAGAGAATTAAGGTCTGATAGATATATTTGATTGCTGGTAGACTTTACAGATTACTAGCCCTGTTGGCTAGTGAAGGTTTTAGGTTAGATTCAAGCCCTGTGCAGCTGTGTACAAAAAGATCTCTATCTTGTTCACTTGTAGCCATGTCACCAACGAGTACAGTCGACAACAGTTTGGAAGGACGAGATGACCTTGGCCCTCGACGTCTGTGCCTTGTGTGTGGAGACGTTGCCTCAGGACTTCACTACAGCGTTGCCTCATGTGAGGCATGCAAAGCCTTCTTTAAGCGTACGATACAAGGTCAGCATGTGTAGATAATAATGATAATAATGATGATAGTAACGATGATAAGAAATTACAATAAACTGTCTCATGTTAACATAATGGGTTTTAAGTGGTGAGAAATCACAGAAACCCTCTCGAGATTACATAAAGCAGGGTAATCGGTTAATAAAACAGTTGAAATCACTGGTACATGTGTTGCAATGGTGTGTTACGTGGAACTAGTTTCCAACTCGTAGCGGAAATCATTTTATTGTGGCTTATTTTGTAATAGTTCTTTCCTTGGTGTGAGTAAATGATGAATCCTCCAGAAGAGGTGTGATCCATTACAATACACTGAGCTGCTGTGCACCGAGTCATTTATGTAGCATACAAATCCTGATTGCTTTTTTTGTGGGGTTTCTACAGGGGTTTTTACCAGTTGAGTGGTTTTCCTGAATTGGCGTTTTAGTGGCAAAATGTTGATTCTGAAATGCTGACATTTTATCTACATTTTTTTTAGGTGGAATTGAGTACATATGCCCTTCAGGTGGAAGCTGTGAAATCAGCAAGCAACGCCGGAAAGCCTGCCAAGCTTGCAGGTATCAGAAGTGCTTGCGGGTGGGGATGCTCAGAGAAGGTATGTGTGTGGCTTGGGGATGACAGGTAGGGTAGAATACTGGATTAAATGAGTCATTGTGTATATATATATATGTGTATAAGAAATATATATATATATAATACATATAACACCCAACGTGGCAAGTATGGAGTCCGTAACACCGTTGGACTGACTAAAATGCATCATGTGACTGCCACTTAAATTGACTGCACTATTATGAATTATAACTGTATAATGTAGAATTACAAATTACGAATAATAATGAAGCTAAAATGCTACGGATGGCTAGATGGGAAGCTATATGTAGGTAGAATCGTTACACAATCAGATTCTGCCTGATATGCTATTTACATGGTGATATAGACTCCATATTTAACCCCAATACGGTCTCTACTCCATACCCCATAGGAGATGACTGTAACTAATAAGGCACACGCACATGCACCCACAAACGCTCATGCATATATATATGCGATGTGATTTATTTTTGCAGGCGTTCGGTTAGACAGGGTCCGTGGAGGGCGACGAAAGTACCAGGATGTGAAGTTTGGTGATGGCTGTAAACTACCCACTTACTACAATGCAGGTTTACCACAACAGATGGCCATTGAAAGCTCTGGTTAGTAGGTGTAAGGGGGCTTAAGCCCTATCTCAGATTACGTGAATTGGTTTGTTTCGATTTAGTCTGTTCTAGTCCCCTAACCACAGGAAATCTTTTCTACTATGCTGCCAGATGTCTGGTGAATGGTTTCTCTCGGCCAGAGATTTTTTCCAGCATATGTATTGTTAAAAATGTATTGTAGCACAGGAGGTTTTAAAATTAACTCTTGTATCCAATATCGCTTGCAAATTAGGTCCTACATCAGAGTAGTCGCAGTCTGTAATTATTTGCAGTGTGCTAAAAATTTGCTAATTTGGGCTAATTAAGTTAGCCTCTTCATAGTGTGCTAAATTGTCACATTCAAAATTATGCTGCACTAAATTGTAATATCTGTGCTTCTAAGGCCAGGTGTGGAATAAACCTCAATATATATGTGAGGTATGGGAATTGTGCATGGCTCCATGGATTTCCACTGATGTCTTCTGAGCCGAGCCTGTAAAACGTCTTCAAAATTTGATGAAAAAGTTTAAGGGGTGGTAATAATACACTTGGATTCATCAATTAAGAATAGAGAAACCTACTTGTAACCCTCATCACTATCGTAAACGTCATCACATTTGCCATTTGAAAACAAAAGTTTGAAGTGAAAGAAGTGCTCACACGAGTATGCAAAACATAAATGCTATAGCTTTACTCTTTTCTTACATAGTCTATGGGCTTATAAGACCTTTGCTGATTGGCTGTGATATCCAGATGAGACGGGATACTAGAGAAGCGTTGCCGAAAGAAGGTGTTGATCCCAAGCGCTATAAGCGCAGATCTCGTGCGCAGTTCCGCGGCAAGGCGCACGCGACCGCGGGAACGTCCTACGACAGTATGCAGCGCTGGCAGCTATGGATCCGTGCGCCGAATGCATCGGCCGGCGCACGATCAAGTTCAATGAAAATATCTATAAAAATGTCAACACCTTGAAGAAGAGAGCGAGAGAGAGAGAGATGGAGAGGGAGAGGGAGAGGGAGAAGGCGAGGCGAGAGGGAGGAGGGAGAGGGAGAGGAAAGGGAGAGAGGGAAAGGAGAGGGAGAGGG